CTCTCTCTCATCACTGTAGCCATAGTCATCATAACTCGCTACCATCCTCCATCAGCATACCTCTCCTTCGGAGCACCGGCAGTGTGGTGTGTACTAACACTGTTCGTAGCCCTCGATGCCATTAGAGCTCCACTCTACCGAGACGTCCTTCAAGCCGTCCACAACCCTACCCTCACAGCCCCTGTTCCACACGCCTTCCCCCTCAGCCCCACACACAGCTCCCTCGCTCCACATACCTTCCCACACAGCACCTTCCCCCCGTTCCACACACGGCCCCCCGCTCCAATGTTACACATGTCAATCATCAAACACCAAGTCAACACCAAATGGATGGTGTGTGTCTGTAATTACGCAGCTCTGTTGTGGCACCTCTCGTCACTATACTTCTCGTCACTATACTTCTCGTCACTATACTTCTCGTCACTATACTTCTCGTCACTATACTTCTCGTCACTATACTTCTCGTCACTATACCTCTCGTCACTACACCTCTCGTCACTACACCTCTCGTCACTACACCTCTCGTCACTATACTTCTCGTCACTACACCTCTCGTCACTATACTTCTCGTCACTATACCTCTCGTCACTATACCTCTCGTCACTACACCTCTCGTCACTACACCTCTCGTCACTACACCTCTCGTCACTACACCACATAATCATAATCAAACCCCCGCAGCATAAACACTTCTCAAGCAATTCGTTTCTCTCTTTCCTCAACCGACAGTTACCATAACCCCCAATCACCGTCTACCCCAATTGTCCTTCACAGTTGTTACCACCACCGTCCCGTCACCTGTCAAATTATGCACCTTATACCTGTCCCCGGTCCCTCCCACCTGCACACACACAGACTCACCTGTCGTTCCTTCACCTCTCATCACTATTTCACACTCATCCATCACTATATACACACAGACAGACACGCTCGTAGGCCAACAACCTCACTGTCACTACTAGAGAAAGTAGCGACAGTGCCTAACTCCGGAAACTCATGTAAACAGTTTACTCTTTAATGAGAAAAGTCAGAATATCATTCAGGAATCTAAATTAGGACGTTTTTTGATCGCTGTCCACAGCGTACGTGGAGCCAGGACTAGAGTCTGTTGACCAGACCACACACTAGAAGGTGAAGGGACGACGATGTTTCGGTCAGTCCTGGACCATTCTCAATCGACTTGAGAATGATCCAGGACGGACCGAAACGTCGTCGTCCCTTCACCTTCTAGTGTGTAGTCTGGTCAACATACTTTAGCCACGTTATTGTGACTCATCGCCTGCATATAGAGTCTGTTGTCTCAGTCCCCTAAAAACACAAAAAGAAACTAGAAATGAGATTTGAGGTGAGGTTCATCAGAAAAAATGCGAGGGATTAGGTACGAAGAAAGACTAAAATAACCAGACTTGACGACGCTAGAAAAAAGAGGAGTGAGAGAGGAGACACGATAGAGACGTATAAATTGCAGAAGGAAATTGACAATGGAAAACATAGAGAGGTTCACAATGCTCTTTTGTTCAGTGTAACTAACGGGCATGAATGGAACCTTGAGAAACAGACGAGTCATATTTTTGTAGCGTAAGAGTAAGAAAATGGAATGATTTAAATGACCAGGTTGTAGAAACGAACTCATTCATGATTTTAAAATTATATATATATATGAAAGACAAATATTGCGTATGACATCCAGCAGCGATATAAGCTGGGTTCGTGCGTTAAATCTAGACCCTCCAGGCACAGGCGCGCGCGCGCACGCGCTCACACGCACGCGCGCACACACACACACACACACACACACACACACACACACACACACACACACACACACACACACACACACACACACACACACATACACACACACACACACATACACACACATACACACACATACACATACACACACATACACATACACACACATACACACACACACACACACACACACACACACACACACACACACACACACACACACACACACACACACACACACACACAAAACACTTAGGTACATCCCCAGGAAGTGCTGCTTCCTGGGGATGTGTGTGTGTGTGTTAGAGATAAATATATGTAGTAGACATAATAGAGGGAAAAATAGATTGGTTAGAAAGGCGGGGTCCAAGAGCTAATAGCTCGATTCTGCAGACCAAAGTGCCAGAGCTCAACCCCCGCAAGCACAGCTAGGTAGGTACATGATGTGGGGCCTCGCGGTTGAGTGGACAGCGTTCGGGGGTGGTAGTCCTAATGGCCCAGGTTCGATTCCCGGCGAAGGTGTAAACAAATCGGTAGTTTCTTTCACCCTGATGCACTGTTCACCTAGCAGTAAATAGGTACATTGGGAGTTAGGCAGCTGCTACGGGCTGCTTCCTGGGGATGTGTGTGTGCGCGTGTGTTAGAGAGAAAAATATATGTACTAGACATAATAGAGAGAAAATAGTGGTTAGAAAGGCGGGGTCCAAGAACTTACACTCACTTAGGCACAAACACACACACACAACTGTACGTTATTAAAAAAATTACCTCAAAGGCTACCCCCCCCCCCCCCCCTGCTGTATTACTGAAACTTCTAAGACATCTGTTGTATTTGAGACATCCAGCGACATCTGTCGCAGAAAAAAGCGTCAAATTCATGGTCTCGATTCAATTTGTAGCTGGAGAAGCAGTTGAGTTCACCCCTCCATCCTCTTCAATTCCAGCCTCGTCAATCCGAGAACTGTTGAGTGTTGAAGTGATGAGATGAGTCTAAAATTCCACTTGAATATGACGTGAGGCTGAGTAAATTTGTCTCACTGTTTGGCATTAGTGAATGAATACAAGTGTTGAGACACATAATATATAAATATGAACCCCCTAGTAATTTAGTGGTGTCTGGGGTGCTAAAGAAATGCACCAAAGCGCTCGGTGGTCCTGTAAGGTCTCATTTGTTTGTAAAAAGCTTCAGTATTATCTTCACGAGAGATGCTTCATATATTTTTTTAAATTAGATACATTGGAGGAAGACGACAGGTGTTACTGCACATAATAATATATTCGTTCCAAGTTCAACATCCGTCTCTTACAACAGAACCAGAATAATTCCCACACGACAGCCCATAGACAGTCATCCACCCAAATCCCCCGCATGATAGTAGTCCTTACAACAGCCCAGGATAGTAGTCCCTACAACAGCCCAGGATAGTTCTCCCTACAACAGCCTCGAAACAGTGATCACCACAATGGTTTACACAGTAGCCCTGTAACAGGAATCACCAAACCAGTCCTGGAACATTAGCTTTCACCAAAGCTCTAGAACAGTGACCTCCCCCCCATCACTATACTCATGAAACATTGGCCTGAAACACTGCTCTGTTCCCCCCCCCCCCCCCCCCCCCCCCCCTCCTCTCACTAGCGCTGCAACGGTGCCCCTAGAAAAGTGCTGGAGTAGTTGTCCTCACAACTACCTCGGAACAGTGGCTTACACAACAGCCCTGGGCAGAGGGTCCAACAACTATACCGGAACAGTGACCCTTCACAAGATTCCTGGAACATTGGTCCACGTAGCAGCCTTGGAACAATGGTTCCCACAATAGCCCTGGAACAATGTTCCCCATAATAGCCTTGGATCAGTGATCTCTTGATCATTTTGGGAAAATTGACGCTCCACAACAGCCCTAAAAGAGTGGAACCTACAGTAGTCCTGGAACAATGAGGTCTTGGAACAACAGTCGAAGGAACAGAAGTCCCCACAAAAGATCAAGAGAAGATGAACCCCAATAGCTGTGAAACCAGTAGTCCCCAGTCCATCCCTAAAACAGCGCCAGTATGCTATCCTGTTGCTATAATACATTCAAAACTTTTTTTTTTCATTTCCTCGACTCTAATTCTCTAGGCACACACAACACACATGTTGCGAGGTGTGTGTGATAACTGAGGAGCAATCGAGCTGTGCTGGTTGTATGAGACGACTATAGACGCGTGACTGTCAGATTCCTGCATAAAACCACCTCGGCACTTTCACTGTGTACACAACAGCGCTCCCTCTCGAATTCCATCGCTGTGAAACTATTTTATTTATGTATAGTAGGAGGGGGAGGGGGCGTATCTCTTAAGCATGTGGGCAATGAGCCTACACTTAATCTCACGTGTCTCATATCAGTCTCACATATTTGGCCTGTCATGCTTCTGTCATGCAGAAAGAAATCACATTAACGTGACGTGTTTTCATCTTCAAGCTTCTGTCCTTTTCAGCCTGGCGTCTATGAATGTGATTCTACGCTCATTTGGTGTTGGGCTTAAGGCCTAGCAACCAGTGGAGGGTTATTAAGGCAACACAACAGCTTAATGTCCAACCAGCAAGTATACTTTAGTCGTGGACTTTGTCCAGGACAAAAGTGTACTCCCAGGGTGTATACATAGATAAGGGAGGGTTATACCTCTCGGTGAGGTGGTATCCCCTGATACCACCTCGGTATCCTCGGATACCACCATATATCCCTCGGTGTATAGACACGCTGATAAGATGGTGTTAATTATCGGTATTTTGTATGCAATGTTTATGCATTGTATGCTATGCATTGCTATGTTTAATATTGATATTATTATTGACTATTACTGCTTTATTTCTCATGTGATTTATTATTATTATTATTATTATTATTATTATTATTATCGTCGTTGTAATATTTTAAACTCAAGTTATCGTAATGTCCTTTTTAAGCTGTAAGATAAAACAGTTTATCTGTTCAGTTATAAGTGAAATTCTGACTCATATCTTAAGCTTTAATTTGTTTACTAGGTTGTAATATATGGGTTTCCTTCTATCTACATATTTTGACATTCAGTTCAACTGAAAACTTTTTTCAACATAATATTTATTAAAGCCGATAAAATAGGCTGTTGGTCCTCGGTTCCTTCCAACTTAATTTTCTGTACTCTACCTGTGAAATTTACATTTCTTTGAATTTAAAATGTGTAAGGACAGTTTAGGTTAAGAAATACTAAATTATCTTCGTTCATTTACTTTATACAAATGTAAATAAATACCATAAATATTTGTACATAGTATTTAAAATAAGGAATATAGACGACTATGTGGTGGCGGCACCTCGTACTAGGAGGCCTTCAGAGGCGTCCCATTAAGCTTGAAATCCTCATTATCCCCAGCTGGAACTCCTCCAACACCACCACCACCTCCAATGACTGCTCCAATACCACCTCCAATAACTCCACCACCAACACCTCCCGGCTGGCCTCCGCCGAAGAGCTTAATGTCGACCGACTGTCTACGAGAAATCCAGGAGATGATGTTGTCCATGATAGTGTCGATGGATTTGCCATTCCAGCCCAGTTCTTCCCAGTTGGTTCTGGAAGGGAAGCCGTATTCCAGAAACTTGCGCATGTTAACTTTCAGTCTCTGGAGCTCATCCACTCGCACATCTGCGCAAGGGCTCTTTCCAGCCATGTCCAGGATGGTGATCAACACCTGCGGAACAAAAGAAAACATTGTCATATTGTACCCCTGTTTCACCTGTGTCGTGGCTTGCCTAATTCACCGCGTACGCCTTAAGTGGAACAAATGAATTGATTATCCTTTTGCCTTAATGAGAACAGGAGGATTAATTGATCCTCTTTCTTACTTAATGAGAAAGGTCGATTAACTGGTCATCGCTGTATCTTAAGGAAAACTGGATTAACTCATTTGTGCCTTAGGGAGAACAGGTGGATTAATTGATCCCCCTTGTGCCTTAAGAACAAGTGGATTAATGACTTGACATATATCAACTAACAACAAACAGCTGCACATGTCAACAAGAAACAGATCACTGTGTTCAAATAGCAAATGTTTTCCCCTCACTAGAATTGAACGTATCGCTCATATTGTGTTGATTACTTGGACATTTTTACCTTTTTAAATTAATTAACTACAGTTTTAAGTGGATTCCTAAATGTGTGTGTACATGTGAACGTGGGGTTTACATATCAACACAGATGGACGTTTTAACATGTGTAAATTGAGATTTTCCTTATGCCAGGCCAGTTAAATGCCCCAGTAATATCTAAGGCTTTGATATGTGTCCTCGTCACAGAAGTAACAAAACTGAACAAGAATCTCGGCTGTTTCACCAGATACATGCGTCACTAGAAGATAACAAAATTAAATGGGCGGAAAATTTGTGCATGATTAGAAAAATGAAGTTCGTCAGGACGTATATACGCAGATAATGCAATTTTTTTCATCAGAAAATGACCGGGAGATATGCAAATTACTTGAAAGTTTTTTTTACATATTTGGAAGGCGATTGGTAAAAGTGAATGTGGACGATAGAGAAGGAAACTTAGTAAGTGAAACAGGAGGAATCCAAGATGTGATTGATCACTTTCAATACCTTTCTCGGGAGAATTTGAAAGTAGAATTAGTGAAGAAAAAGTGATTACTACAATAAAAGAATGATAGGATTAAAATAATGGTGTCTAGAGAGCTGCATAAAAGAGAGTTAATGCCTACTATTATGTCTGGATGTGAGACGCTGGTGTAGTGTGGCCCTGGCCAAGACTTACAGCGGTTTTAGGATGGCCTCAAACGCATTTTTTGGTGTTAGGTAAACGAAAAAGGAAATTAAAATATGAGTATATGTGGAATACAAAAAGTTAGTAAGTCGAATGTTTAAGAAGTGTTTACTCGGCTGATTTTGTCAAATTATGCGTATCAACGATGACAGTTTGTGATAATATTTATGAGTAGTATAGACAAATTATATTATCTTACATGTGTCTTCATTAACATTCGTCTTTCATACCTCTGGCCACTGTCTAGGACCGTCTGGATACTTATGCTGTCTGTCTCATACGTAGAATTTTGTCTTAATATTGTGTCAACTGCGCTTGATAAGATATATATTTTTAAGATTAATCCCTGTTTTTTTTTTGTCATTTATGTAGACGGTGTGGAGTACCGACCCCTGGGGCACCCCGCTCGTTCCGTTGAACAAGGACGATAGTACCAATCAGTGGAACAATACGCTCGAATCATTAGACGGTTAAAGGTTGCAAAAGGTTATCTCGAAATTTAGGATTAAAATATCGGTTGGAAATCCTGAGTAACTGTTGTTGTATATATAATTACATAATTATAATAGATACTTTGACAGGATCGATTATATCGGATCCGGTTCCGCTGTTAGTTTTCCTAAAGTTGGGATCTAGAAACTGTTTATATTATATTTTAAACAACATCTGCCTAAAAGAACGAGTATTTAATGCAAGGTTACTGTTACTTTTCTCACCCTCTTTTTATATCATTAAATTATATTGTAATGATGAAAAAGAAAAATTAATGTTTGGGTTAAACTCCTAAACGTCTTAAGACAAGTGGTGGCGGTGATTCCCATGTATTTAAGTTATCATAGTGAGCGTATTACGAGCTGCTGATACAAAAAAATTGCAATGCATAATTCTTTTTCTCACTGAATAAATTTTGCAGTTTGGGAACGTTTGTTATTTTCAATAATGTAAAGACCGAGCTTCGTGCTGGACAGAGAGGCCGTCTCTTCACTGCTGTCCGTCAGCCTACCGTCACTCTACAATAGAAGACCTGTCGAGTCCTTAATATTTTAAAGGCTTCTAATATATTTATAAAAGCCTCTACGATTGGATCTAATGGTCTGTGAAAATTTAATTTATAGTTTTGATTTAGTACATTCAATATTTGTTAGTGAATTATGCTTGTGTATGTGTGTGTGTGTGTGTGTGTGTGTGTGTGTGTGTGTGTGTGTGTGTGTGTGTGTGTGTATTGACATAGATGTACTTTGTGATGGTTAGGCTCTAGCTCCTGTCTTGTCGCCCAAATACCAAACGACTAGTGTCTATGGTCGCTAACCTCTTGTGATCCGTCGTGTCCACTATGAAAGCCTTGTTTAAAATCTACTTTCTCTATCGTGTTCTTTAAATATCAACAGTTAACGTTATAGTACGTGAGCACGTAAGTACGTGAGCCCCCACCTAGTTGTACCCACCTAGTTGTGCTTGAGGGGGGCTTGAGCTTTGGCTTTTTGGTCCCGTCTCTCAACTATCAATTAACTGGTATACAGATTCCTGAGCCTACTGGGTTCTATCGTGCGTGTGTGTGTGTGTGTGTGTGTGTGTGTGTGTGTGTGTGTGTGTGTGTGTGTGTGTGTGTGTGTGTGTGTGTGTGTGTGTGTGTGTGTGTGTGTGTATATATATATATATGTGTGTGCGTGTGTGTATATGTTTGTGCGTGCGTGCGTGTGTGTGTGCGTATGTGCGTGTATGCGTGTGTGCTTTGTGCGACATAGTCTCTCGGCCTTGGCGCCTTCTTTTGATAATTACTTACTTGTGCGCAAAACACAAGCAACATTTAGGCACCATTTTCTTGGTCCATCACCTTGTCATCGTGATGGAGACGACCATTCATGTCGAACCCTGAGAGCCTGATTGTCTTGCCTTGAGGAAAATGAACGTATTCAGCTGCATCACAACCCGACGTGAAGAATAAAGGAAGGAGAATAATTATTCCAAACCCAAAACCCCTTTAAGATCACATCTAAGAAGAAACAAACTGACTTAGGGGTAATATTCTTACCTGTTCAGCAGTTTTCTCGGGATATCCAAGTTGTCTCATTGGGGCTTCACCGACCAGGACGACCAGGGCAGTTTCTACTTTCCTCTTGAAGCCAGCGGCCTCGTGTTCCCCAGGCATGAGGGACAGCAATGACCTCTGGATATTTTCCCTAATGCACTCCAAGGGTGAGGAGGCAGCCAGACAGGAGCCCCCGAGGACGACCTCGGATTTGCCGGGCGGCGTTATTAAGTCTTCTTTCGTGTGGTCAGCTTCTACGATGATCTCAGGGTCTTCAAGCTTGGAGCAAGGAGGAGGCATAGGTACAGGTCTTCTCGGGTGTGTGGGTATGGCAGTCGGGTGTGGCTGTAGGAGGCTGGTGTGTGTGGGTATGGCGTTTGGGTGCGTGGATATGGTGATGGGTGCGTGGGATGGTAGAGTGGTGATCGCTCTCGTGTGGACAGGTGTAACCAGCAGCGGTGTTGTATGTGTGTTTGTGTTGATTGTTGGGCAGTGTTGGTGGTGATGAGTATATGGAGATATGGAAGAAACAGGCAAGGATGACTGCATCAGCTGCTGAGCTGATTGCGGGGGTAGTGGTGGTGGTGGTGGTTGTAGTAGTGGTGGCGGATGTGATGGTGGCACTGGTGGTGCTGGTAGCGGTACCGGAGCAACACAAGTTGTTGAGACACTGACTTGGGGCTTCTCAGGAGCGTGAATGGGAATTAAAGGAGGAGGGGCCACTTTACGAGATTTATTTTTCTTGGAATCTAAGTGACTGACATCGGTAGATTTTCTTCTCAGGATATTAGATTGCGTTGGAGGTGTGGGTATGGCTGAAGTGAGAAGATGATGATTGGCATGCGGAAGTCCTGGCGAGGCAGGTGCCAGCAGTTGATGGGTAGAAGAGGGAGGCTGAGGCACCCCATAACCCGGATATAAATCACCAGGACTTCTTCCCAATCTCTGAGAGAGATTTAATGGCGAACTTTCCGTCGTAGTTGGATAGCCATGAGGCCCTGGTGGTTGTGACAGGTCCAGGGGGTTGGAATCGCCGGTGGAAGGCGAGTGTGGGGCAGAGTTGGGCCTGTAGAGCGGTGAAGCGCCTCCGCAGGAGTCGGGTAGTTGTGGTTCCGGTGCTGGAGGGTGGTTGCAGGGGTACGGTCGGAGGAATGGTGAAGCACCAAGCCCCGTGGACGTTGTGTGGTTACCAGGCACCGGATGGTGACCCAGAGTGAGCTGGTGGATGTTCAGGTGTGGAGAGTTAGGTCCGCTGGTCTCGGGTTGCAACACCGGCTCAGAGGGAAGTGTCACCGTCGGGGAAGTAATGGCTGATAGTTGCGACGTTGCTTGACTGACTAACGGGGAAGTAGGAGTGAGCGGCCGTTGGGACGACAGTGCCGCTCGCAGTACACTCAACGGTGACCTGCCGCCACCCGGGTACTGTTGCTTCTTCGGCGGCATCCGGAAGGTCGGAACTGGCGGCGGAACATCGAAAGAAACTGTAGTATCCAAAGCCTCTCTAACTGCCTCCCGCTGAGGCACCGGGGACGGCAATCTCACCGGCACTGTTGATTCCGCTGTAGTTGTCGCCGGATCATCGGGTTTCGAACTGGTTTCTGGCGACTGGTGAGCCCCTCGGTCAAAGACTTGGTCTGGGGACGTGGCGTAGCCCGTGCTGCCGCCTGACTCGCGGCCCGAGTCCTCAGAGTCACTGACGACGATGCAAGCCCCGGTTTCCCTTGCCTCCTCCTCCGCCTCCACTGGTGGCGGCGCGACGGGGATGATGTCGCTGGCTCGCGCTGGCTCCAGAGGAGTCAGTATAGTCAGCTGCGGTTCGCAAGGCGGAGGCAGGATGCACTGGAGGCCAGTTGGCGGCTGGAATTGCTCCAGATCCTGTAAGTTGATGGTAGTTGGTTCAGAAACCAGCGAAGCCTCGAGATCAGCCTCGTCATCGCGAGCGTACTCGTTAGGATGGTGCTGGGCGGTGTGGTTAACGAGGTCAGTGTCGCTGGAGAAGACTTGGCCGCACGGGATGCAGCGCACGCCACTTTCCACGCGGTGCACGCGCACGTGACGACTCAGGTTGCCAGAGTGCTCAAATGCGCGACCGCACAAGTGGCATGCGTACGGGCGCTCTCTCGTGTGTATTCGCCGGTGGACGACTAGATTGGCGTAGGCAGCAAATCCCTTTTGACAGTGCTCGCACTGGAAGGGCTTCTCGCCCGTGTGAGTCCTTACGTGGATTTTAAGGACTTTTGAGCAAGTAAAACCCTTGTTGCAATGTGTACATACGTAAGGCTTCTCGCCTGTGTGGCGCCGGATGTGTATGACGAGTTGGCCGTGTTGAGAGAAGCGTTTCTCACAGTGTGGACACTGGTAAGGCCTCTCGCGGGTGTGGACACGCATGTGGGTGTTGCAGTTCCCTTTGGAAGCGAAACTCTTGCCGCAGAATGGACACGCAAAGGGCCTCTCTCCGGTGTGAGTCTTGTAGTGGGCGTCCAACCGAGACCGGCGATCGAACTCTCGTCCACAGACATCACACCGCAGTTCGTTGACGTCCGTCGTCACCTGTAGTGAAGAGGGAGCTTTGTAATGGACAAATACTGAACTCATTGTTTTTGTATTTATAAATGTAATATAGAGGGTACCTGGCGTTACTTGGGTGACGGAGGCCACTTTTTCACTACACACTATCTTTATCACTGTAACTATGTATACAACACAGAACCATCGTTACTGTAGCCATCTTCACTCCACATGGCCATTATCACTGAAACCATCTATATGCTATCTTCCTCACTCTAACCATTTTAACTTCACACAACTATACTGTAACCATCATCTCACCTTCAAAATTGCAACCAGCTAAACTACAAACGACCATTCTCTTCAAATGATCCATCTTCAGTACGTAATCTTCATCACTGTAAACCATCTTCACTACCCGGACACCGTCGGGTATGTCATCTACATCCATCATCATCATCATCACTATCTTCTCAACCCTTTACCACTTTCCCTACACTTCACCACTTTGCCCCGACTCTAAACCACATTTCCTACCATTTACCACCTTCCTTACCCTTCACCACCTTCCCTTACCCTTCATCTCGACCTTACCCTACCTATCATCTCCTTCCCTGTGCTTCAATACCTGTCTTACCCCTTCAATACCTTCCCTACTTGTCATCACCACTTTCCTCTTCATCACTGTCACCATCTTCACTATACAGCGCGTTTAACAAGCAAATATACAACAAGACATCCTGACATTAAATCACATTGAAAATATTATGCTCGATGAATCTCAGTGAGAATGGAGATTTAGCGAGATCACAAAATAGTATCATTTATCATGTCATGTAAAGGGGAGAATATGCAGGTCGACCCCTACGCGCCTATGGCCATCCCGAACAATGATCAGTCATGCTGCAAAGTTTGGCGAGGCTAATCTCAAGTATCTGGTCCCCGACCTCGAACCGACAGACAGACAGACAGACTGACATTCTCTTTCATAGATATATACTACCTGTACACAATACATATTTCAGTTAGATGGAAATGTAAATATAATAATAATAATAATAATAATAATAATAATAATAATAATGAGGAAATCCACTAGGGCTGTGAGGGGGCACGAACCTGCGACCAAGGTATTGCCAGTCGCATACTCTTCCACTAGACCACCACAGACTTGTTAAGAGTCATACAACCAGATTTCTACTGAAATCACAGGAAGTCTGGAGGCTCCCTACTGAAGGCAGGCCAAGTTTTTACGTACCACCTACAAGCACTCAGGTGGAGGATATACAGGTGTGTATCTACACACAATAGATACACAGTGTGCACAGTAGATACACAGTGTTCGAGGATACACAGTGTGTATCTATCTGTGTATAGATACACACAGAAGTACAGTGGGGTGGGGACGTGAGGTGTAGGTCAAGTGGTAGAATATGCGACTGGCAATATCTTGGTCGCAGGTTCGCGGCCACCTCACATCCCTAGTGGATTTTTTCATTGCTATATATCACGTTAGTGTGATTACTGTGTGAATAATAATAATAATATTAGATATTCGTTGAGTAGACAAGAAAATAATAATCCAAGCTGTTTTTTGCTGGAGTTAAAACATACCAACACCTAATTACCTAAGACTGACAAATCAGTCTTTTCGAAATATGCTTTTGTGATTGTTGTATATCCTAGTAACCACTACTGTGCCCCCCCCCCCCCCCCCCAGACGTTGTACATCCTAGAGGCCAATACTGTTCACTCAAACGTTGTACATCCTAGAGGCCAATACTCTCCACTCAAACGTTGTACATCGTAAAAGTCAATACTGTCCCTCCCTGACGTTGTACATCCTGGTAGTCAATAACCACACAAAAGCGAAGGATGCAAAAAAAGGACTATTGTTTAGCGTTACAAAACTAAGAAACGACTTTCTGTAACATTATATCTCGCAAGTCACATCATTATACGCTCGAATATATCAAATTCAGCTTCAGAATCTAGTCAATTATAACTTTAGTGCAGAGTATTCATGTGTAAAATCAGATAGAATATATGTTAACTTCCAGGGACTTCGTATTAAAATGTGGAAAATGTTAAACTCCATAAGCATTGAGATTTTTGGGCGCAAGGGTCATTAGAAAGTAACTTACAAGCCCAGGGATGGGAAGGATAGTGTTTTACAAGTCCAAGAATTGGTAATAAAATTATTTAGAGGTCCCAAGGATTAGAAGGATAGAGATTTACAGACACAATAACTAATAAGAAAGTGTCTTACAGGCACAAGGACAGGGAGAAAGTCCTTTACAGACTCAGTGACCTGGAAGGTGATTTACAGTCCCAGGGATCTAGAAAAAAGTATTTTACAGTCCCGGGGATCTAGAAGAAGGGGATTTACAGTCCCAGGGATCTAGAAGAAGGGGATTTACAGTCCCAAGGATCTAGAAAAAGGGGATTTACAGTTCCAATTATCAAGAAGAAGGGGATTTACAATCCCAGAGATCTAGAAGAAGGTCATGTATATTATCAAATTTTCATGAACCAAATATTATAAAAACATCTTCATTTCACATGTCACCTTCCTTTTTCACGCCTATATATTTCATGTATTTTATTTCATTGTTTATAAATTTGAAGATGTTTATATTAGCACGAAAGCGCTCAAATGGCTTCTTGTTTCATTTTCCCTTCGTGGTTATACGATTTCCTTATTATTTATAACGAATTAATTACTTCGTTATTGATGTAAATGTATTTTAAGATTTATATTTTAATACAGAACACAGTTTGTGTTTTAATACACATGTGTTTTAATGCATATGTATTTTAATATACATGTATTTTAAAATATAAATTTTAATCGTGCAAGTGAGAGAGTTGAGGTAGCGATGGAGAGAGTAGTACGGCTGCTCCAGCCCTTAAGGGTGTTGCCCCTCTGGCCCTTGCGGTTAGGGGGGGGTGAGGGGTACATGGAGGGGTCTTGCCTAGCCCTCCCCCACTGTTCCTTGGGGGATGGGGGATGTCTCCCCCATCCGTCCCCTGGACGGGACCAGAAGTGGTGTGTACTTAACGGCTGTGTTGAGCCGGTTCCTCCAGCAGGCTGAGGAAGCAACGTGTCTCTCTCTCTCTCTCTCTCTCTCTCTCTCTCTCTCTCTCTCTCTCTCTCTCTCTCTCTCTCTCTCTCTCTCTCTCTCTCTCTCTCTCTCTCTCTCTCTCTCTCTCTCTCTCTCGTAAGACTTAAGATGTATATTACCACAAAGTATATAATATTGTCCAGACCACGAAATATCCCGGTCTGACGCTATCAAATTGTTCATCACGAACAAATCGTCAAATTATTCACGCTAGTGTATGTAGTCACAGGAGCAGAACTGTGATTATTGTGTATGTTCTCCGCTGGGAGCGTCTCCACAAATATCTTGTGGGTAACTGTTCGCCATGTGTATGCTGTGTATTTCCACACTTATGTATAAATAAGTGTTTCCGAGTACGTATGTATATAAGTATACGTTTCTTAAAACAAGAATTGTTCATTGTCACTAGTTTATAATTTGTTGAATGTAAACAACAAATTCCATTTTATAAGGAGTAATTGCTATTTCTAACAGCTCACCACATACGGTACAACGTTGTCATTAACACATTTCACGTGAACTGATCAACCAATCAAAAACCAGCCCCGGCAGAGGCCGGAAGCAAATAATAAACAAAACAAAAAAAGAACACGATGACATAATAGCCGAAATAACCCAACCAGCTGGACGAAAAGGAAACGAGAGATTAGATCTTTTGAATCAGTATGACTCGGTCAATTGCTTGAGATGTGGGTTCCCAGCTTGTCAGCCGTGAAGGATGATGCGAGATATTATGTTTGATGCATACTATGTGGTCTGGAGAACTTGAGAGAGGGAGAGATAGTCAGCGAGGGAGAGGCTCTCATTGATGACTCTGAGAGAGATAGTCGACCAGTCGAAGATAGTCGACTGGATGGATAGTCTGCTGGACAGTTACATTATCGACTGGATAGTTGCATTATCGACTGGATAGTTACATTATCGACTAGATAGTTACATTATCGACTGGATAGTTACATTGTCGACTGGATAGTTACATTATCGACTGGATAGTCGATAGGAGATAGTCGACCTATCTCTGAGAGATAGTCAGAGAGGTAGAGAGCTTCAAAAAGCAGATATTATTATATCGCTGTGCGACAGTTCCCATGGCGATTGAAATCAGACGACTCTGACATCCAGAGATGCAGATGCGTGCATGCGTCGCAGGGAAGGTATGCGCTATGGACCTCCAGAGACGCATGTGCGTGCATGCGTCGCAGGACTTCGCTAACAGGTATTACCTAATATAGTACTTGCTGGGACGGATTAATATCTCTTGGCCTCGCCTTTATTCTTTTTATGAATTCTGTGCAACACTGTTAACAACTTCTCACGATTTTGTAATATATTATTTTTTGAGTTGTGTCGTTTCCACGTCAACTACCCGTTCCTTAAGGCCACTTGATCCGTCCATTACGCGCAATAAGTCAGTATTTTCTTAGAACTCTGCGGCACGTCTGCTTTTCCAGTTTCCAGTTCTAACCTCTGATGTACTGTACTACTCCTAGTATTTTATATATCTGAATCATGTCTCTTGAGGATCTCAAAGCCTGCAGTACTTGAAGATTCAATTTCCCCAACTTGGCATAGTACCTTAGGCTTATAATTTTCAGAATCAGTATTGCTGCATGGCTTTGTGCTTTTTAAAATTGTCTTTTCTGCAAATTGTGTTTGAAAGAATTACTCCTGTCTGCTTGTTCTGGCTAGTTACGGGGTCTTTGGCTAGTTACGGGGTCTAAACCTCTTATAAACCTATGAGTGGTTTAGCTTAATGCCCGGTCCATGGTCGATCTCCAGCTGCCGTCCTCCCAGTCCAGCCCCTTCTCGCGAGCGTTCCAAACGTCAAGAAACTGTCGTATTAAAGTGCCTTATCCTGACCTACCAAAGGACTTGTGGATAGAAAACGGAACAGTAAGTCAATTTCGCGAGCCACGA